CCCCTACAACTACCTGCTGTTCGCACAGTTGCGTTCTGAACATTTGAAACAGATTAAAAGTTATCTCCTTAAAAATATATTATAATAATAATAATAAATTGGTCACTCAATCCATGACTGTTTTTGGGACACTGCTGTTCGCATTGGTCTGCCGCATTTCGGCCACAAAATACAGTCACTACACTTTACAGTGTATTCTGTGAAGCACTTTGAGACGTCTCGAAGACGTGATAAGGCACTACATCAAACGCAAAGATTATTATTATTATTCTCCAAGTTAAAGGTAAATGATTTTACTGTGTATATTAGATTTCAAAATACTGAACCATTATACTGAATCAGATATTTTGCAATCAAAATCCCTGAACATTTTCAGGAGGAAGAATCAGCAGCTGCTTATGGCATAGCTTTTCTTGCTTCACTTGTTGAATGATGTTACCAATGACAGCTTTGTGAGAGGAATTGTTACTGTGATTCGCATTTAATTTATCACCGCAGAAGCTTTCAAACATTTGGCAAAGGACGTGCTTTGAGTGAGCTGTTAAAACAAAGTGGTTTAAATCAGCTCCGCTTCAATTGTACATGTGTGAGTTTTTTTTATGACACATTGATCGATTCTTCACAATCCCCTGTTTGTATGGAAAGGAGCCTTTTTCGGCTTCCATTATTTGCAAATCTGATCGACGAAGGGTAACAGCAACATATGTGTTCCCAATAAACAGATGGCAAAAGGCCATAGAACTGCAAGCTGCTTAATGTTATACATTTGTCATTTTGCGAAAAATTACTTTCGACTCAAATGACATGAATTGTGTATTAATGAAAGTATTAAGACTATTACACTTCAATTATTTAAATCATCAGCATAGATCACATGAATGAAATCATCGGAAATTCAATTTTGGAGATGAAGACAAGCAGAAATCAAAACCTGAATTGACACGATGAATAAATACTTCATTGATACAACAACAACAACAACAAAATTACATTTATAGAGCGCCTTTCACGTCGGGAGGATGATACATTCCATCGGAGAAAAGCTGAGCTCCAGTGGAGGAGAATTCCTTTCTACTTTCTACTTAATACTTTCTCCATTGTAATACTTTCTTGCTCACATTATATTCTCCTGTTTAGAACATTTTGAGAGGACACCTAGACACCTATTAAGTTAAATAGAGGAAAATTACAAGCCATACAAATTCTATATACACACCTTGCATTTCTGGGAACACTCCATTCTAGAAACAGCAATAAAATACGATTGACAATAAAACTTTAAATAGAACCTTTTACGATGTCTCAAGGATCTTAAATATTTTGATCGCATTTTCATATTTAAACAGAGAAGCACACCCTTGAATTTAATTCTCTTTTGTTCTTAATCTACAAAAAAAAATCGCAACCCCACCTTTTTAAGCAATCTCTGAATCTCCACAAACTTTGCAAACACCTTTCTTTCCAATGTGAATTATTGTACTAATAATCAGGCAGGGGAAGAGTGAACCCTATAGAGAAAGCGAAGGTCGATGATGCATCATTTCATCCTTTATCCAGGATCCTTAGTAGGATGGGAAGTGGCCAAAAATAATTTACAGTAAGGAAGTGGACAGAAAACCTACCCACCACTGCAAATTGACTCATTCTCTATAACAATTTGAACTAGGCTAATACTGTTTCTGATACAATCACTCGCTTCTGAGGATAAGCTTTTATCTGATGTCCAGAATCTGTCCCTTTCCTGTGACAGCTGCTATTACACCCCCCCCCACCCCCACCCCCCCCACCGCCCTCTGTGTGACTAATTACTTTCAGCCTATTTATCAGACACGCCAGATGCCATGTAAACATTGATATGTTATTATTGAATTATTCAAGGCTATCTACCTTCTTCCCCCTCATGTTTCCATGGGTTTAACCTTATATCCAAAAAATTGGGATGTCAACTATTCCTCACAAACTCCCTGAAAAAAAATCCCTGCTATATTAGCACTGTCGGGTCAAAATCCTGGTAGTTCAGAGCTATGTGTGACACGATTGCTGTTGAGGCGACGCAGATAAAAGAGCTGTGTATATTTCCTATTTTCCAATAATAACATAAGGAGTGGGGGAAAGCACATCATTGCAATGTGATTTTGTGATATACGCAGCAAACTCCAACAATATTTTAAGTAGATTTTCCCTGGAGTCTGTAATTGCATCTTGGATGAGTCAGAATTCTTATACACTATCTGCACAAGCAAACCGAACAGCCTGAATGCCAATTCACTCTCTGTTAAACTTATCAACAACAATTTGCATTTATGTGGTGCATGGCATAAAGTCTCGGAGCGTTTTACAAGGACGGATACGGAAGCAGAGCAAGAGAAGAGGAGAGAGGCGACGGGGGGAGATGATAGCCTTAACTTACAATAGGATTTTATCATGATAACTATAAGATGGCAAGGTCAGTGACTTTACCAACCCGAAGAATCTGAAATTAATCTGTTTCAACCCAGATGCAATTAAAAGACCAGAATCCCCATAATTCAGATTCACTCACACAAAATGGGCAATTTTTTTTTAGCAACACCATAACAAAGGCTTGTGTGAAAATGGCAGTGTTACATTGATGCATTTGCTATTGCTCATCAGAGTATGGGGTTAATTACCAGTAGAGTGGAAGGGACTTTATTGTGCATTATAGCTAACTTGAGGAGTATTTAGTACTAACAGTGTGTGGATCTTAAATGAAAAAAGTGTTCCAATGCTCAACACTGATATCCATCATCTCCTAGGCACCAAAAAGAACCAAATAAAAATATGGTAAGCAGGTACCCAGTCTCTTAAAGTAAAATTAGGGCTAAAACTCTACAGTAAAGAGTGGTGTATTTCACCCAAAGAGTAATGGAAATCTGGAATTCTCACCCCCAAAAAGATGTGGATGCTGGATCCATTCACATCTTCAAGACTGGAGGACAGATATTTGTTAGGTCAGGGTATTAAAGGATATGGGGCAAGGGCCAGCAATTGGACTTGAGGTACAGATCAGCCGTGATCTTATAGAATGGCAGAATGGGCTTGAGGGGCTGAATGGTCAGGTCACTGTGACAGCCCCCCACCAACACACACACACACACACACACACTCGCACCACAATAGGGAGAGACAATTAGTCAACACAGTACAGTTATTTCTCAAATCAACATGGCATTGCTCATGGCTACTCTGGCTACTTTCATCTCTCTAAGTGACCCAGAGTCCACCTCTTGCTACTTGGCTGAAATCAACTGATTCAGCAAGAACTAAGTCATAAAGGAGTCAACGGAAAGGCTATTGATTACTCAAATCAATACTTTGTTTATACTTTCTGAGCGATGGGAATCTTGTATGAGGTATAGATGGCTGCTATTTGGAAATATCCTGCGGATTTAACACTATCAACCAAGTATCGGTGCGCTGGAATGTTTGGATCGAGGTAAGAGAGACGTCTCTCAGGATTTACAGATGCTGAGTTAGTATTATAGATTGGCCTGACAAAGCACAATTGCCTGCGATTTATATTTATTAGACAAGTGCTTTATGCCTCTGTGCTGAATTAGAAGGATTTGGAATGTTCGTTCAGACCACTTATGCCCTGCAGATGCTATTAGCAGCAACCACAGTTCTCATGAGCTCTGCTACAGTCATCTTTCAGGTCACTGTGACAGCCCCCCACCAACACACACACACACACACACACACGCGCACCACAATAGGGAGAGACAATTAGTCAACAAAGTACAGTTATTTCTCAAATCAACATGGCATTGCTCAGGGCAGCCTTCGTACCAGCCTCCCAAAATCTGCACAGCAACAACAGAAAGACATCTGCAATGTTGCAGCAAAAATATATTGTGTGTGATCAACTGTGCCCTTGTATCCATCTGTGCATCTGTTGAGGATGAACACGTTGACTGCAATAGCCAAGGGTGATAGTGATGCCAAGAATATCAGGGACATTTGTGCCAAATTGCCTTGCTGCCCCCATCACGTATTTATCCTTGCCATTTCTGGACCCACCAGATGGTTTAACAAAGGAGAATTGGCTGGTGACTTGCTTCTACATAAAAGATTAACCTGTACCTGTCACTATCCTTTCTACATGATGCCATTCTGCTTCACAAGTGATGGGAACTCTGGTCTGAAGTGGTGGCTCATGATTTCAGTGCTGATGATTTTATAATGAGGCACTCGCTGGAAGTACGAAAGATACCAAGAGCGAGTTCCAGAGGATCTGCAGTGGTTTAGCATACGGTTCTGAGCTGCAGCGGAGCCTAATGAATTGTACGGCTCGACTCCCATCATAAGGGTGCAATGTAAAAAGACTCCAATGAAAACAACGAGGAGAGAAAAAGGTAACACATGTTTGTCCTGTAGCTCAGTGGTTAGAGCAATTTCCTCACAAACGAGAGACCTGGGTTTGATTCCCTGTAAGGCGAAATGCTGAGCAAATTTCCTTACTCCACATGCCCAGCAGTAAGTAGGAACCCGGTTGTTAGTTGATTGGCGGATCGCTTTTCTGGGGGTAATAATTCCTTCAAAAAGATAATACATCGGTCACTTCAATCCACGACTGTTTGTGGGACACTGCTGCATTTCGCCCACAAAATATACAGTCAATTCACTTTACAGTGTTTCCTTTGAAGCACTTTGAGACGTCTTGACGACATGATAAGGCACTATATCAAATGCAAGGATTATTTATTCTTATTCTTATTTGTAACTCATGAAATAAGATGAGATTCAGGTGTTTAGATATCGAAAGCAATGATATCCTACAATAATGAGTGACAACAACTTTCCCCATGTACTGTTTGCAACATATGCAGCAAATACAGTGAAATATTTTCTGCACAACTCCTACCTCACCACAAAGAGAATTCTCTGCCATGATCAAGGTTTGAGGAAGCAGATATCTTGGCTACATCCAATCTGTTGGAACAAGTAATCTTTCAATGATGGAAAATCTCTCAACGTACCTGCACTCTGGGCTCAGTCCTGGTGAGGAAAGCAGTACGGTTCCTCCCTGGTAATGGGGGGCAAAACCACTCCACTTCACTGAGATACGTGAGGAAGGAGCAATCTGTGCCATCAACGCCGTAGTAAGCGTAGCAGGGATCAGAGGTCCATCTGGCTCTCATCCACTTCAATTATTGTCGGCAGTCAGAGGAAACAGAAAAAAAAACACAAGGATTATTTTCAATGCAAACTTTGCTCAAGTTTTCCATGTGTAGTTAACAACAACAACAAATTACATTTGTATAGCTCCCTTCACGTCAGAAAGATGTCCCAGGGCGCTGCACAGTCAGGGATTTTTGGACCTGAGGTGGGAGTTGGGATATTAAAATACACGTGTTGCACTCTCAGTCTGATTTAGATACTCTTAAGCATGGTAATGGGTTTACCAAAGTTCAGGCTCCCAGCTGACTGAAGAAAACCTCTTGCACAAGTCTTAAGCTTCCGTTAACAGAACAAGAGCGTTCCTTCTAAGTTGGATTTGATTTTGGTTTTCCAAAAGCAAAGGAGGAATGTAGTCCCACTGACTCTGTAGCATTTAGGCCCCTAGAATGGCATCTTTGTAAGATTCTGTTCTAACGATGTCTGTTAGCTTGGGTTCAGCTCTCTTGATTTGAGGCTGGAAGTAATAATGGGTTCACATGCCCATGTTGGAGCTTGAGTTCCTCGTCTAAGAGGATTCTGTACATTACTGCCTTCCAGGTGAGATATTAAACCAAGGAACCACTGAACAGGCTCTAAAGATCCCATGGAACTATTTAAAAAGAAGGGAGTTTCTCCTAGTGTCTGAGCCAAACTTCCTCTAGATTAATTGGGCATTTACTTCATAACTGGGATTGCTGGCACACTGGATGCCAGCAAATACTGTACAGCCACTGCCCTGGACAGCAATTACCTGTGAAGCACTCAGAAATGATTCAAGGATTGATGTTATTACATCGGCCACAAAATATGCAAATTGACAGACATTTTGAGGTGATAAAGCACTATAAAAATCAAAGTTTTTCTCCATGCTCGAATATATTTCACCACATTGAGAATTCTGTGGTCAAATCTATCATTTATATGAACTTTACCTTGATAGGGTGCCTTTCACGTGGGAGGATAAAAATAATAATCTTTGCATTTGATATAGTACCTTATCACATCAACGAGGCATCTCAAAGCACTTCACAGGGTTCAATAATAATAATAACAAAATAATCCTAATTTTTGGTGTAGCGCCTTCCATAACAGGATTTACTGTAAAGTGTAGCAACTGTATATTTTTCATGTGCATGAGGCTGCCAATTTGCACACAGCAATGTCCCACATAGCTTTGAAGTGAATGTTATCTCGGAGATTATTGGCCAGTGCCCTGGGAGAAACTTATACTCATTTTGAACAGTGCTATGGGATCTTTAACATCCACATAAACAAGCAGACGGGAGCTTGTTTTATAATATCATCCAAGGGATGGCACCTCTGACAATGTAATACTCTTCCAGCACTGCACTGGAGTATCAGCCTGGATTGTGAGGATGTCTCAAAGTGCTTCACACAGCTGAATGGGAACCCGGGGTGGGTAGGGGGTGAGGAAGGAAGAGAGCATTTGCCTGTATGGTTGCACTGTTTTATTTCATTAACATGTAGTGAAGGTCACATCAATTTGTTTCAGTGTCCTTCAGTGGAGTAATTTATGAAATACTGTCTAATTATTTTTATTTAAATCAGAAGTTATTTAATTTCGTAGCTGATAGCTAAGCATTTCATTGAAAAATCCTTGACCATCTGTTAAACCATCATATTAATGCATGCTTGTGTGTTTAGAGTGGAGTGTTCATGGACCTATCTGCATGGATGCTGGAGGAAATTTACTTTGTCTTATTGAATTGGTGGTTATGTTGTTTATCAAACACGGTCAACTGTTCTTTTAAAATTTTAATAAAGAAATTGCAGTGGCAATAGATGGATTAATTACAAATTTATCTACAACCTCAATTTATTATCCAACATTAATTGGCACTTGACAATAATCCAGCAAATTAATTTTCGGAAAAAAATGAACCTGCATTTAAAAAAAAACCTGGATGTAAATTTACACACTGTTTACTGATGACGCTCAATGTGGAATCTGTGTGGACAGAATATTCAAAACTCTTACAAGTGTATAGCCTTCTGTCCCTGCACAAAATAAAATGACCTCAAAAACACCTTAACTGAAAGGAAGCATAATAAGGTAAAACATGAATTCTTTTTTGATCAGTTGGAAACCCATCACCATGCTTAAGAGCAACAGATGAGAGTTCCGGATACCTATTCCACCCAACATGGAAATGTCCCTTTGTATTGCTGCAACGGCACACATTTTTATTTTAAAGCATTTTCAATTAGATTTTTTTTAAAATGGTGATTTTAGTATATTTATGTAAATGGTTAATCCTGCATCTACTCACAGAAACTGCCAGTTTCTTGATACACCACAAGATGATTTGCAATAGGGCCCTTCACTAAATACTGGATTGTTCAGCCAAGATGCAAATTGAAACGCTTTAATGTTTATCCATATCATGTACTGTGGGACTTTGTGATGGTGATAAAATGGGTGAATCAAATTGTCAGAGTTTAACCTGATCATTGATATGAATCTGTGGGAAGATGCTGAACAGAGGTTTCATGATACAGTATATTCCATGCTGGGTTTATTCCTAATCAACATTAGAAGCAGTAGAAAATATGGAAATTGTTTTTAACAGCCAACAAAATAGCATGAGCACTGCTGTTCTTGAAGAGAATACAATATCATTTCATAGGATTTGGAGCTGCTGTTGATATGATGCCGCTCTAAATCAAAAATTCTACCATCTCTTGATAAAGTAACAGAGTTATCAGAGTTGATGGATTCGCCCTTTTCATAGTCACATTTCAAACACGCTTCAAATTAGTCAATGATAAAACACAATCTAATACCAAATTGCATTTGGATAGTGCCTTTCACGTCGGGAGGATGTCAGGAATTGGACTCGAGGAGGGTGGTTGGGATGAGGGAGGGTGGCTGAAGGCGGGGCCGAAGAGTAGAGTCTTAAGACGTGCCTTGAAGGAGGCAAGAGAGTGAGAAAGGCGAAGGGACTATGGAATGGAGTTCCAAAGGATGGGGGCAGAAAGGCTGAAGGCTGGACCACCGATAGTTCATAGTTACCGGGAGTTGCTGGGGGTCTAATGTGCAGGGATATCTAATGTGCTGCATTGATCTGCTGGAACAACAGTCACAAGAAGAAGATTGTGTCGGAGCAGAAATCCCCCAGGTTGTGTGACGCTGTTCCTGGCAGGAGTTACTAAATGAGCTGTATAGATTCCAGTACCAGTTAGACTGTGCATCTCTCATTGAAAGAGCATTTCTCATTCCATGGTTTTCTGACCTTCATATATTATTAATCCTCTGCAAATCTCTATGAATGGAACCCTTTTCCTCAAAACATTACACTTTCCCAAATGTAACATGCCAAACTGAATACCTTTGCCTGGCTTTTGAATGTTGTGAACAAGAAAGATCCCAACACGATGCTCGATATGGTTGTCTAATCAGAATTACAGCCATATCATTGTTTGTAGCAGTTCGACAATTTATTATCCAATTAACTTCTTTGTTGAAAGAGAATTCATTGAATGCTCTTGAGAGGTGCCCTTCTGGGCACCTTGTGAAATGCAGGCAGCTTGGCTGTTTTACATTGCCAGCATTCAACTACTGAGATGAGGCATTCCAATAAATTTCCTCGCATGACTAGCTTTTCATTAACCTTTCTTGGACTAGAATACAGGAGTTGCCTTCTGTTAAATGCATTAAAACCACTTCTTTTACAATAAGCTACAATATAATTTTCCTATGGAGGTTGTCAATAAGTCTGTAATTCACAGGGTTAAGGATCTTTGACCTTTCATCAAATTGGAATATCACTTGCCATTTGGAGTCTTTTGATATTCCCCTCTAGGTATAATGAATTGCAAACCAAATTCAGCTACTGCTCCATTCACGTCTGCTCTTATTTCTTTAAGTAGTCTTGGATACATTCCATCTGGGTCTCTTGTCATAAATATTCAAGCACTCCAGTTTTTAAATCACCACTTTTCACTGATCTCCATCTCTAAATCTACCAAAATACTGTACGATAAGGACAAGCCACCACATAAAACATGGTGAAACTATATTAAAAAACATCCACCCATTACATTCCTTTCCTCCATCTCTCAGGGGCCTTACTTGTTTTCCATGCTTTGTATAAAACTATTCACCGACAAAATATACAGTCAATTCACTTTGCAATATATTCCGTGAAGCACTTTGAGACATCTCAATGACGTGACAAGGTGCTAAATCAAATGCAAGGATTATTATTGTTATTTTTCTATCAATACCCTTTGCGATGTCTTCTTCCAGTTTGTTGTTTTCCTCCTGGATTATCTTTTTCTTCTTATCCTTTTTTAATGAAGGTTATATAAATTGCCACCCACCCCACCCCCTTTCCATTTAAATATTTTTGAAACATACTGTGTGCTATGCTATTCTTCATGTCAAAAATCTTCTCTGTGCTCTTTGGGTAAATTTAAAAGTTAAGCAAGGTTCTGGTATAACAACCTCTCATTGCATACATAGGAGTCTCAATGATATAATAATCCTTGCATTTGATATAGTGCCGTATCACATCTTCGAGACGTCTCAAAACGCTTCGCAGAATATACTGTAAAGTGAATTGACTTTGTGAGCAAAACGCAGCAGCCAATTGCGCGCAGCAGCGTCCCACAAACAGTCATGGATTGAAATGACCAATTTTTTTTTTTTTGAAGGAATTATTACCCTCGGAAAAGTGATCCGCCAATCGACTAACACCAGGTTCCTACTCACTGCTGGTAAACAGAGGCGTGTGGAGTAAGGAAACTTGCCCAAGGTTTCGCCCTGCTGGGAATCGAACCCAGGTTTCTCACTAGCGAGGAGAGTGCTCTAACCACTGAGCTACAGGACTCCATATACTACATGAGTGAATAAGATGAGTAAGTCAAAGGGAGCTCATTGGCATTATAGGCAGTAGTATGGTACAAAACTACACATCATGTTCATTGCAACTATTTATTCAGACATTTCCCTTCCCTGTGA